GCCATCGACCTCATGTCACGGATGCTCACGTTTGACCCGCTCAAACGGATCACAGGTGAGGGCTGGCTGTCTAGGCACCTTTTCTTCTGACAGGGATTTCGTTTTGAGTCGACTCAAAACGAGATCACAAGTGAGGGTTGGCTGTTTAGGCACCCACTTGGGTATTCAACCCCACCCCTCATACATCCCGGTTCCCCCTCCTCCCTCTCCTGTTCAGTGGAAGAGGCACTCTGCCACCCCTACCTCTCAACACTGCATGATATCAACGACGAGCCAGCATGCCACGAGGCCTTACATATGTGATCACTCTTTCCCCTCCCCTCCCCTCCCTTCCCCTCTCCCACCAAGCATACTCACACTGGAAGTGGCACTCTGCCACTGGTACCTCTCCACACTGCACAATATCAATGACGAGCCGGAGTGCAATGACCCCTCCCACTTTGACCTCGAGGGTGCTGCCCTGTTCTCATACAATCCTCCTTCCGCCACAACCCATACCGTTCTCCCTATGCTCTTCAGTGGAAGAGGCGCTCTGCCACCCCTACCTGTCAACGCTGCACGGCATCAACGACGAGCCGGTATGCGACGACCCCTTCCACTTTGACTTCGAAGGTGCTACCGGTCTCATACAACCCCCCTTTCCCCCCTATGCCCTTCAGTGGAGGAAGCACTCTACCTCTCAACCCTGCACGACATCAACGACGAGCCAGCGTGCGACGACCCCGTCCACTTTGACTTCGATTTGAGGGGCCGTTCCTATCCCTCATATTACCCCCCTCTCCCCTGCCCCCCTGTCCTGTTCAGTGGAAGAGGCTCTCTGCCACCCCTACCTGTCAACTCTCCATGATATTAACGACGAGCCGGCGTGCGACGACCCCTTCCACTTTGACTTCGAGGGGCCGTTCCTATCGGATGAGATCATAAGGGAGATGATCTACGCCGAGGCGCTGGCGCTGAATGCGCCTGTGGGGGATGAGGAGGGGGTGGATGCTGATGGGGATGCGGACATGAGATGATGATGGTGATGACGTGGTGGTGATGGTGATGCTGAGATGAGATGATGGTGACGGCAGTATGAGATTGTGAGGAAGGCGCGTGCTTTGAACGCGCCTGTGGGGGATGAGGAGGGGGTGGGTGCTGATGGGGATGTGGACATGAGATGATGATGGTGATGGTGGTGGTGATGGTGATGGTGATGGCGATGGCGATGGCAATGGCGATGGCGATGGCGATGGCGATGGCGATGGCGATGGCGATGCTGATGGTGGCATGAGGTGACGGTGACGGTGGTGTGCTTGTCATGTCATGTGGGCATTTCGTGATGGGGAGGATGGCATGAGGTGATGGTGAGGATGGCATGAGGTGATGGTGATGATGGCATGAGGTGATGGTGAGGATGGCATGAGGTGATGGTGTCATGAGTGATGGTGATGATGGTGATGGCGGTGTGGCCGTCATCTGGGCACCTCGTGATGGTGTTGTTTGGGCATGATGTCATGGCAATTGCAAATGGAGTGTGGGATGAAGGGTGGGGGGCAGTTGAGAGTGGTTGGAGACGGTGGGTGGGGAGGAAAGTGAGTGCAGACACAGCGGACTACAAGAGAAGGCTGCTTTTCCAGCAGTCTTGAAACCAGGGTTTAGGAAGCACAGCTTGAGAAGCCAAGAGAAGCCAGCTTGGTAGGGAGAGATGGAATAATGGGAAGCCAGCTTGTGCTGGGCATGACAGGCAACCTGCATGAATATCTGTTTACGACCCGAATCTATCATGTCGAGTGGGTTACCATCAGTCATGCTGTGCGGCATGCCTCATGTGTCTGTCCGCATGCCTTGCTGGAGGTCAGCAAAGCTTCCTGGGGCAGATGTCTCACTACCAAGTCAACCAATCTGCTTATTGGTACTGGTAGATATTCATTGTGGTATTACTTGATCACCATATTATACAAATATGTTTGACACCCCCTAGACTGGACAAGGGGCAGTGCCTGGCTAGATTGTAGTAGTCCGCATCTCCCTCATTTGTTGACATCTCGTTTGCTTGGCGTTCTCCTGCATCATCGAAGTTACGCTGATGCTTGTAACGCTTCGGCTTCTGGTAGAATTGCCTCCAATGCATGTGCCGTAGGGTCGCTAGTGAATGAATACTTGCCGGATTCGAGGTTAATTACTCCTCAATCTGTCAAGCTGTCAAGATTATATAAGCTGTATATAATTGATAGGCTTGATAGTTGTTACTGAACCTTTCTGTAGAGGGTACAATCCCCTCCTTGTACCTCTCTCTCTTCCTAATCGACTCTCTTCTTTCTCGACACTTTTCTCCTCACCTTCCTAGATCTACTTTCCTCCCGCCATTCCATGGCGGCCTTTCCTAGTATCTTAGCTTCCTAGCCAAGCTAGTGTCCTAAGCTTAAGAAGCTAGTGTCCTAAGTTTAAGATGGTATCAGAGCAGGAGGTCCTCCCTGCTGGACTTCCTACGCACGCTTCTCGCGCTGCCATGGCGCCCGTGTCGTGCCGCTGGCCGCGTCGTGCCGCGGCCGTCTCGACGCGCTGCTGTGGCGTCATGCTGTCGTGCCGTCGCTTCCGCCGCGCATTTCTCTCGTCACTGCCTTCCCGCCGTGGCGGCAATGCCGGCCTGTCATGGCGGCTTCGTCGTGCTGCCGTCGCATCCTCGACGCCCTGCCGTGGTGGCGTCGATGCTTTGCCGTGGCAGGGTCACCTTGCTGCCGTTGCAGCGTCGGCGTGCCGCCACAGCGTCGACGCTGCGCTCTGGCGGCGTCGTCATGCTGCCGCGGCAGCGTCGATGGGCGGCAGCGGGCAGCACGCCGTCGTAACCGCCACCTGCCCGCCCTCCTGCCAGTAAGCGCCGCGCCACTCATGGCGCGTCGCTGAAGACTCGTCCCTTCCCCCTGCGTCTTCCCTTCCTCCTGTCGCAGCTGCTGTCTTCTGCCCGGACGTTGTCACACCGCCGAGAGCCCTCAGCCGCGGCAGTCGCCGCCTTGAGCCAGAGCTCCGCCGCTGCTTGTCGCAGAGCCACCAGACGCCGTAGGCTGCCTCTCGCCCGGGGGTGTCAACGCTTAGCACGAGGGTCAGATACCCGGCTAAGCACGAGTTTGAGGGTGTGCGGGGTTAGGGGGTGTGTTGGGTGGGTGTGTGACTATCAAGCCTAGGGGGTGTGTCAAGATTATATAAGTTGTATATAATTGATAGGCTTGATAGTTGTTACTGAACCTTTCTGTCGAGGGTACAATCCCCTCCTTGTACCTCTCTCTCTTCCTAATCGACTCTCTTCTTTCTCGACACTTTTCTCCTCACCTTCCTAGATCTACTTTCCTCCCGCCATTCCATGGCGGCCTTTCCTAGTATCTTAGCTTCCTAGCCAAGCTAGTGTCCTAAGCTTAAGAAGCTAGTGTCCTAAGTTTAAGACAAGCATCGTGACATGCACGGAATTTTTTCAACGCAGGTCATTAACACCTGGAATCGTGACGCATGATTGGTGTGTCGCCGCGTAAGGTTGATGTTGAGACTGCTCCAATCAATAACTTCGGATGGCTGAGATCCTTGATGAAGACGAATCGATCAGCTCCTGTTACGAAGTAGTGTCTCGCTGTCCTTGACAAGACGAGTTCACTGCGTCGTCGTTGCGTGCGAAATCTGCTCCTTCGCAGCAACTTGAACTTGGGAGCATTGCAAGAGAAAACGGCCACTTCTCTACAATCCCATAGGTTGTCGAACAAATTTATGAGATGAAGTGTCTCATGGATGGAGAACATGTCTTCACGCAGCTTCATTGTTATTCTGGGGTGAAGATCCGCTGTGTTGATGTCGATCCATTTTTAACGAAGATGACTTCGTCAAAATAAATTGATCGTTATCGACACTAGTCAGAAGATGCGTCGATTGTGCAGTCCCTGGTCACGAATGTTATCTCTATGATGATGCAATTTCATGGTGTCGTCTCCGCTGCATTCGTGCCGTTGATTCCGCACCGATCCGACTATCCACGTTCTCCTGTCAGTTATCTGCTTGGAGCTATTACCAAGTAGGTAATTTTTGGCAGATTTTTGACTCTGCAGATGACTTGCACGCCAAATTCGTCACCAAATGGAGGAATCCGAATATGGTTGTCCTGCTGATATCACGTCATTCTCGCTTTGTGCAGAAGTCGCGCTCCATCTCGTCCGTTGAAGCAGAAGTCGATCCGACGGTCCAAACTCCAAGCGATCTGAAGATATTCCTGAGTCGCATTCAGCAGCTTTCGGTGCCCAGGATGACTCGTTTCCTGCAGCAATTCTCGGTCGTCGATGTCGGCTGTCGAACTATCGGACGCTCCGAAGAATTTTGCGGCTTGCGAGGTCCCGTTCCCATTCGCGCTGTAACTCGACCTCACTCATTATGATTTCGTTTCGCCTCGGTCGATCAAAAGCGTCGAATCTCCATCGGATGGATGTCATCGGTCGAAGCTCCGCACATTTCCGCGCAACTCCAAGAGTCGTGGCGAACTGCGAACTTCTCGGAATATCGCAGGGAGTGTTCCGCCAGAACTGACGCGTTCGCGAGGTCGAGGTCGTTTGCCCCCGCGAAAAAATCGGCTCCGTCGATGCAGTCCATCGAACGGTCGGCGAGGCATCTCGCCTACGTAGGGGACCCTAGGTGCAACTGCACGAGGTTTGTCGAACTTAAATGAACGTGCATTGTACTTATAGTAAAATACGTTTCGACTCCATCCTCGCTGTGCTCCTGGGGGCCCAGCGGTTAAGCGTTCAGCTGAAACCTTGGCTCTGATTACCGAGTGCCACAGGATCGAATGAGGTTTGCTCAATGTTGCACTATCAATCAGTACAAGGTGCATATATAATTCCATAGTACACCATGTAATCAGATTTATCCTATCCAAAGGGAATAGACCCTTCTAGAAATACAGTAGAATCACCCTGCGTATAGCCACGCGAGGCTATTGGCTTTAAGGGATTACGGAAGGATTACGCTAGATATAGCGCGCCAGTACATCCCGAGCCTGGTCTACATGATATAATCATAATAACATGATAAAGTAAATGATAATGGAAAATGAGAAATAGGAAACCAAAAGAGATGAGATAAAGACCAAATGAATCAAGATAAAAAGAGGGCTGAAATGGATATGAAATCTGGAAAGGGGAAATTGGTGTAGCCATGTCATACTCTCACTGGTGAAGCCCTGTGGACGGCGCAGGTAGACCTGCTCATGTAGATTGCCCTGAAGAAACGTAGTGGAGAAGTCGAGGGAGTGTAGCACTGTGCTGCTACGTGTAGCAGTGCCCGAAGAGTAGTCATCTACGGGGCCGGGGCGAAGGTCTGAAAGAAATCCACTCCCTTGCGCTGACTGAAGCCTCTAGCCACGTAGCGCGCCTTGAACACAGGCGGCACTCCGGGGGGATGCTTCACCTTGAAGAGCCACCAGCCATCGACTACGTTCACCCCAGGCGGGGAAATTGCGTCGACAAAAGTGCCAGTGGATCTCCAAGATGCCATCTCCTGCTCCATGGCAGCTATCCACTGAGAGGCCCAAGGTCCCGAGGTCGCCTCAGCATAAGTGCGAGGGGTTGGGATGTCAAGGGCATCTGGGTCACCCTCTGGGACTAGCAGCATGGAACAGAGATGGGGAGCGGCCTCAGACAGGAAAGCAAGCTCGTACTACCTGTCCTCCAGGACGACACTGCCAAGGGCAGGAGCACCCCCGACGGACGGAGGGCAGGCAAGGCCAGAGACCAAACTGTGGCGTAATCACGGCGGTGGGTAGAGGCGAATTCAACAACAGCAGCAACAAGAGCGTCAAGACTCGAGATAGGAACAGACGGGTCGGTGACGAGGGAGGCAAGGACCCAAGGAACAAGAGGACGAGAGGCACAAAGGTAGTCAAACAGAAGAGGCAGAGAGACGATGGAGGAGGTGAGGGGAAGAGGGGAGGATGAGACGTGTGGGAACGAAGCAACATGAGGTAAGAGCACTGGACAGGAGAGTTAGGACGAGCACGAGAGGGACGGCCAAACCAGAAGTGGGACGGAGGCGTCGGGTCAGGAGGCACAGGAAGAGTCACAGGAGGAGAAGGCGGGGGAAAACGAGCCGGGGACGAGTCCGGGGGAGGAAACACACGGCCGTAGACATGCAGAGGAAGCGGCGGCGGGGAAGGCGCGGGGGGGTGGTCAGGGGAGGGAAGGCCAACCAGGCAAAGAGCGGACATCAGCGACGACTGCTGCTACTGCTCCACGCCGACACCAGAACCTCTAGTTGAACCACGGCTACCTCCGGAATGCTCCACTCCAGCACCCCCAAAACGAGAACCCTCTCCAGCACCGGTGCCCCTGAGACCGCCGGGACAAGCCATGACAGGAACCCCAGGACGAGCACCCCCAGAACCAGCACCCTCCAAAACGTCCGCACCCCCAGAGCGCGCGGACGGCTGCTGCTGCGGCTGCGACGACTCCTGCGGCTGCTTCTGCGGCAGCGACAACGGCGGCTGCTACGACGGCGGAGGAGAGGACACTGGGGGAGGAACAGGCGGTGACAATTGCGCCACGGGGTCACCAAAGTCAGCCGACTCCTCGACCGGGACAGCCGACGGAAGGGGAGTGACATGAGACACAGCAGACGGAGTAGGATGGGGAGGGAGGGGAGCAGGGGCTACCGGGGGAGTGGGAACCAGAAACAGGGGAGGGGAAACCGGGAGACCTCCTTGGGGAAAGCAGTGGTAGAAGGAGACAGACTCGTCGAAAACGACGTCACACGAGTGAAAGAAGCGGTGAGACGGCGGATGGTAAAAGTGCCAGTCAGACGTGTCAAAGGGGAAACCAAGGAAGACGCAAGGGACAGTGGGGGCAATGAGCTTGTCTGTGCCAGAGGCACGAATGTGAGCAAGGCAGCCCCAGACATGGAACGCGGACACGTCACCAAGGAACCTGCTCCAAAGAAGGGTCGGCGAAACCCGCGGCCGCTGGGAGTGCGGCCACAGGTTAAGCTGGTGAGCGGCGT